CCTCCCCCCCGCTCCTCGCAACCACCCCTTGCTTGCTGCCCCAAGGAAAATCTCACTTTTAAATAATGAAAGGGAGGAAAATAGAGCACAGTGTTAAATGTATGCAGCGAGCACAGTAAACTTGGTTTGGCTCCCACCAGCTCCTGTGCGCTGTCTGTAGAATGGAGGCCAGCATGCACTGACGTTTGTGGCTCAGTGTGCTTGTGTCAGAAATTCCTTGGTTCAGGTCCCATGGTTGGCAGAATGACTTCACCATCAAGCCCTTGAACGAGGCTCTTAAACTCCAGCTTACCCTGCCTTTCTTCGCTTGGGATAAAGGCGCCTGCCAAAATGTGTTTGAGTTTTCTGAGTTGTCCCGTAGGCAGAGGTGGACATTTCAGGTCCAGAAAGTAAAACTCCAGGCCAAGATTTTGTTTCAACCAGCCAGCTGAGTACTCTGTCACTGCGACTTTTTATGCCCAACTGATTGGTTGAAACAAAATCCTGGCTTGGATTTTTACTTTCTGGGTCTGAAATGTCCACCTCTGCCCGTAGGTGTCATAGCCCTTTCCTGGTATCCACCCAATACAAAGGATGATAATGGTGAGCCTACTGATGACATCACCCCCCTGGTTTTGGACGTGGCTCATAAGTACCAAGTGAAGGTGAGTCTGCGACGTTAAGGGTGTGCGGAGGGGTGGGCAAATGCATCGTTTCCTTAGGAATTACTTAGCCTTTATCCCATAGCCTTTAGCCTTCGTTTATATAAGTTTTGGGCAGTAGTTGAGTATGTACCTAGTTGCATGGTAAGAGCTGGATGTGAAGTTATCTCTATGCTGACTAGGTCAGACTAGATTTGTAACTATTCATTTAGAAAAGGCAACCCTCACATACCCCTTAAAAGCATTGCACTCACCCGCCTGAAGGTCTTCCCAGGGTCCCAACAGCGTCATTTACAGAATCTGTCATTAGGGTGCCTCTCAACTCATCAGATTTTGCATCTGCTTAGAAACTTTCCTACTTCGCTGTATGAATGTAGGAATGGAATTATAGTACATAGCTCCTTAGAGAAGGAGGCGTTATTCTTTAGGGTTAGGGAAACTTTCAGACTTCTCTGATGAGCTGTTAAGTGAGCACATACATGCGAAAACATGTAAATAATACATTTTGGTGGCTTTTGATCAAATGTCATCAGCAGCTGCCTGCAGGACGGCTGAAATTCTGGAGCACTAAGTCACATGACCGATTCTGAAGAGTCCTTGGGCTCTCTGAACTAGATCATGATTTTCTTTTATCCTCTAATAACTGGAATGCATGGACTGCATCCAACCCTGATGCCAGCTGAAGGAGCGTAGCCAAAGACCCACCAGCCTGAACTGTGTCCAGCCCATTTAACACCAGCCATACGCAGATGTAATACTTTCACTGCCTGTCTTGCGTTGCATGTGATGGCTTGTGTTGCGCTTTTGTGGCAGAGGATTGCATCACAAAGCACACCTAGTGAAATCAGCCAGTAAAAGGCCTTTAGTCTTTTTTCCCCCTCCATTTCCATAGTAACTGGGCAAAATACCGTCTATGCCTATTGACTGGGTAGATAAAACAATTCTAGATAGGTCCAGTGTAGGTATTACAGTTTGTTGCAGTTTTCTGTGGTGGCTCTTTTTGCAGTTGTACTGTAGTAACCTGGATTTCCATCTCTGTCAGGTTGTTTTCCATATAGAGCCATACAAAGGAAGGGATGACCAAAGCATGTTCAGCAATATCAAGTACATTATCGAGAAGTGAGTTAGTGCATTATCCTTATTTTCTGTTTTTAAGGAGGATACAAGTTGCACCAGATATAAATGTGTGTCTTTGGACAGGTATGGGGACCATCCTGCCTTCTTTCGCTACAAGTCTACTGATGGAGCGGCTCGTCCCCTGTTCTACGTGTATGACTCGTATCTACTAGGTCCAGAAAAATGGGCAAACCTTTTAAAGAGCAACGGTCGCCATAGTATAAGGAACACGCCGTTCGACGGTCTCTTTATAGCTCTGCTGGTCGAGGAACAGCACAAGAGCGACATTTTGGCGTCCGGCTTCGACGGCATCTACACCTACTTTGCCACCAACGGTTTCACCTACGGCTCATCGCACCGCAACTGGAAGTCCATCAAAAGCTTCTGCGACAGGAACGGCCTGCTCTTCGTACCCAGCGTCGGCCCGGGCTACATGGACACCAGCATCAGACCATGGAATTCGCAGAACACGCGGAACCGCATCAACGGGAAGTACTACGAGACCTCGTTTGAGGCCGCGGTGGAGGCCCGGCCCGACATCGTGTCCATAACCTCTTTCAACGAGTGGCACGAAGGGACCCAGATTGAGAAAGCTGTACCCAAAACATCCAGCAAAACTGTTTACCAAGACTACCTGCCTCACAAATCTGACGTGTACTTGGAGATCACCCGCAAGTGGAATGAAATTTTTGTTAAAGAAAGGAAGAAATGGCTAGTCTGACAGAAAACACATGGCATCAAATAAAGAATATCAGTCCAGCTATTGTGGACCATGGCAAATAATTTCATTATTTTATTTTTTTTACTTTATCTGACATTTTCATCCAATCTGACTTACAGTAGAGTGAAGGGTTGTGATTTTTTTTTTCTCTGTGCTCCCTGAGGTTTGAACCTACAACCTTTGTGTTGGCTAGTTGAGCTATAGGGTTTCATGAACTAATCGCAGCTTAGAGATGTAAATGAACACCATTGATTGGTGTTTGGGCTGTGGGAGGAAACTGCGTGCTAGAATCATTCCTGCCAGGTGTGCAGGATAAACGCTATTGGCTGAGCTCACCTGTTACTCAGAATGAGAGGCGTAAAGGAGACCTGCAGACTGATGGCCTTAAGTCTCATGTTTTGTAAATCTGTCTTATGCTCTTTACATCTCTGTATTTAAAATGATAAAGCATAGGATTGTGGCCCTTCCCACGGCACAAGAGAGCATGCTGAGGAAATCTAAGAGCAGCGATTCTCAACCCATGGGTCGCGGCAAGTACTGAAAGGGTCACGAGGCAGAGCTGGAAATATAAGCATTTTAAAACCAGCAAGTTCCTATGCTGATCCACGATCAGATATCCCAGCCTAGAATTAACCTGTATAAACAGGTCTTGGGTCTGCAAATGCTTAGCGCCAAAGTAGTGAACCCTCAACCAGTCCAAGAAGCCAAACCGCAGATGCTTAATTTAAAATTCACTGGCACATCCAATCAGATTTTGTGCGATAGGTATCGATTGGCGTAAATCGTAGAGTGCATTGTGCGCTTCATAATAGTGTTAATTTAAACTTGATACAGGGTTGTGACTGAGCCGGCATGGTAAAAATTAGGTCGGGGTGCAAAAAAGGTTGAGAACCACTGGTTTCGAGAATGCCATTTTCCCTAATCACAGGTTTGTGGACTGTGGGAGGAAACCTGCACAAATGTGGAGACTTTATATACACTGAGTCAGAGGTGAAAAACCCTTAAGGATTCTCTCCGAGCAGCTGGAAACTGGTGGGACACAGGCTTTTTACATTCTGGAACCACGACACGATGGTCAGCCTTCCGAAATCGTGTCTGCATGGTGGCAGCTCTCGTTCTGCACAGATCGTATTGTGTTTCAGGTAAAACGTCTTATTTAATAAAATAAAATCTAATAAAATCCCAAAAAAGATCTTTTGAAAATGTTAATTTGAAATTTTGTTGTTTCCTTTGGCAGGTTCTTTCACATAATGGTCTAAAATAAATGATAATTACAGTAATCTTTAAAAATGTTTAACTTGGGTGTTCTGCTAATTTCACTAAAATACCTGTGCTGGCATTTTAACTGAACACTTAAGATTTCCAGCCCAGATATAATGCACTATTGAATTATACAAAGGCACATTTCAGGATTTTAAAAATATAAAACACTTCTAAAAATATGCAAGAGCATTTGTGAGCACTTACTAGCAATTTTCTCTTCCTTTTACAATTCATATGGTGTCCAAGAGCTTATCATGAACTGTCAAATTACTGAATCCTTTTTTTTTTGCCAGTGACAGCAGCCAGCTATAAATAGCAAGGCAAAGTACGCTAAATACACTGGGAAATGATTGACAAGGCTCCAGGGACTTCTGGGAGTTCTGATGTGTGTGGAAGCTGCACCTGTTGTTGGTTACCTCAGTGTTGCTTGACGTTCTGGAATCTGCAGTTATCCGTTTGTTTATGTTTGGTGTTTTTTCATGCCCTCATCCTGAATGGTTCCTTCTAAGCATTGCCTTCAAGTCTAGGACTACTCCAACAATGCAGTGCTAGTATTCTGTGCTAGTAAAACCCTAAACCAGGGTTCTCCAATTCCGGTCATGTAAAGGCCAGACACTTTGCATATTTCCCTGCTGAAACACACCTTATTCGGCTCACCAGTCAATTATCAGATTTAATAGGTGTGTTTGAGCAGGGAAATCTGCAGAGTGTGTCTCAGACCCACCCTCCAGGACCATAATTGGGAAACCCTGCCCTAAACTATACCTTTGTGTGTAACGGGGCCACAGGAAATTATAAACACACCACAGGCTTTGTTTTATGTTTACATGTTTATTACCCTAAATTAGGGAAGGTCACAAAATTCCAGGCTGAATTGCAGGTTAAACAGATTTTTTTGTAAGGGGAAACTCAGTGGTCTCACTCTGACCCGAAACGTAAAAGGAAATCTAAGTGAGTGGTAAATGCAGACAGGTGTTTATACTGTGACAGATCTGTGATGCCCTATCGGTGCCTTTTCAAATCAAATGCTCTTCATTCGACGAGTTAACAAGCCAGACTCATCAAACCCAGTGGATCATCCTCTTAGTAATGACCCTGGAGGCATCACTTAAAACTGTTTGGTCATTCCGAAGAGGTTGCAAGGTTCTCCAAGATAGTACCACCTGACCTTTTTTTTGCCTGCTGGTGCCTCATCCATGGAAGACCTTCTCAGTCCAGTTGGGTGTTTTGCAAGCAGTTTGTCACCTTCTGTGACTGTTGAAGTCCAACACAGGCAATTATGTTGTGCTCATGCTTTCCCTCAAGAGGCTCGCAATCCCATCATTTTGGAACATATTTGACAGCTAAATACAAAGTTGGGCTCTAGTAGTGCTGCCAGGAAGTAGTCATTGTATTTTTCTTTTAAGAGAAGAAAGAGAACATGATATGGAAGACAACCAAGGAGAAGCGCGATGGATCTGATTGGCTGATTGGTAAAAGGACATTTAAATAAGAAATGTCACATGACGCAAAAGCGTGGTCCACAAATAGAATGTCCTTAATTCCTGTTTTATTGCAAATATATGATGATGAGGGATAAAACATATATTTTGCTGAAAATATATATATATATATATAAATGAAATACCACAAGAAACTTGATAAAGTGTCTGAAGGAACAACCGCGTCCCAACATGTATATTCCAGGTCTGAGCTTTGAATTGATGTCCATTGTCCCATTCCCATGAAAAGAACTGACAAAACATCTGGCATTACTCTCAGTCAAACCGAGACAAACTGAGGCAGAAAATCACACATAGAGTGTTTTTCGGGTACGATTTCCTGGGTGCCTTTAAGAACTGCAAGCAAGTCGCTACTCTGCCACAGACCAAGCTTGGAAACCGACGATGTGAGAAAATCTGAAAATGCAAATACTTCCACAAAACCGTTATTTGCACACAAATAGGAAGAGAGTTTTTATAGGTATCGATTTCTATTTTATATTTCGGAGGGACTGAAACAAACTACACCGTGCTTAGCAACCTCTGTTGTTTGTAACGTTTGTTTGCGGTTGGCAGGACGACTAAGGCTGTCAGATCAGCCTCACGCCTCGTAGCTTCTCCATAATGAGTCTTTACAGCTATGTGCTGCTTGTGTTATGTACAGTGGGCTTGTCAGCAACTGCCTACTTCATTAAAACGAAGTGACAGAAATTCCACACGGTACAATTGTGACATATTTTGGCTGCTGAAGGCTCTATATACTGTATTTGTCAGGCTGTGATGTATTTGCTAAGTGCTATTACATGTGCATATATGGTCTTATCTGACTCTTGCACCTGAAAAGATTGTCAAGTCCACAAAATACAGCATGCCTGCAACTTGTCTAATTATAATTAATTCGCGCAATTAAGGAAATGCTCATTTATATTCTCTGAAATCTTCCTTGCAAAGGCAGTACTCAAACTGGTTTCATTAAAACCATTTCAGACCCAATTTTCTCTTTGTGTCACTGTTCCAAACAATCAAACACAACTTGTATAGATTAAATAAACACTTCTGAAACATTGTGTTTCAAAAATGCCTTTTGCCAGATAAAGGGTCACATTAAAATTGAAACTACTGCTTCATTCCTCTGCTCTTGACCTCTGGAGCTGCTGCCCTTCCCGGATCTGTGCACAAAGGACGAAAACTGCAGCCTGGTGAATTTCCCGGGCTATTTTTGCAATGCAAATTCACTCTATAATCCTCTTGAAAAATGATACTACCAGATGGCCTTGGCTATCATCAATAATTTTTTAGAAACGTGTCATCGATCTGCATTTGTCTGTTGAAAAATAAAAATATAGCAGAACTATATTCAGTAAATATAGCATTCCGTCTGAAAGCAAATGTTTTCATTTGTGGCCTTTAGAAGGATTAATGTCATTTTCCTTCTGTATCGCTGTCTGAATTTATTTGTTTTTAATATATTATTAACTTATTCATAGTCATTGTATAGAAGAAGCAACATTCTAGAGTCCAAAGTAGCCTTACAAATACCATGTGATTAAGGAAGGTTTGTATAAAATGCTAACTTAGGATCATTAGGTTAAGATTCAGAGGATGTGCTTGCCAAGGACAAAACACTCTCTCTGTGATCCCAGGCCAAGGCAGGACTCTCAGCTACTGTCAATGAGGGGATTAGCATGAAAAGATTCTAGTTTGCACCACATGGGTATGACCATGGACTGCTCTGTGTGTTCACTTTTCATTTTCTATTTTGTTCAAGGTCTTTTTGCTAGTTTTTACAATAAAATCCCACTTTCTCCAACATCGCTACCGTCCCTTACAGAGACATATCAGCACATTATTCCATGTCTAATAATCCAAACATTGCACCATTGACACAGAGATTAAAAAAAATGAACAAAAGGAGAAAAAAGTCTAGATAGAGTTGGCACACACCAAATGGGATAGCTTCAAGCATAAAAGGACATTGTATCATTTAGTAATCAGTGTTCCTTTGTCATCATCGAAAGGGATGTTCCCCAAGTTTAATATTAATATATTATATTTCTTCCACTTTTCATTTTCTTATGTGTCGATATCATCATATGAACAGGATTAGTGATTAATATCATTAACAATGTAACAAAAGAAATAACCAAATTAAATCCCTCAAATGCCCATACAAAATTCTTAAACTCTACTTGAGCCAAAATCAGAAAATGTTGCATCTTTGCTTCAGTTGCTGTAATGATTTATTAATACTCTGCACACAAACATGGGCCTGCAATCGCTTCCTTATGAGTCTCTCAAGTCTTGTCAGTCCCATCACTATGATGGGTTTTCGATAGTCCTGCAGATAAACTTCTCCCTTAAAAGGTCCCAAAATGTTCCAGGCACCGTGGCCTCTCTGCCCCCCCAGAGATTACAGCTAATAGGAGGGATCGTATTTATAGATGGACTTTTCCATGTGTGTCCTCCTTAATCTCTGTCCTGCTGCTTTCCAACGCTGCTGAAATCCTCCACCCTCTGGCTCTGTGAGCATCAGGTCAACAGACAAGGTAAGTTTGCAACTAACCATCAGTTTTAAACCACAAGCAACAGAAAACTGCATTCAAAGCTTCACTTTGAAGTGTTCCAGAGAGTTCCAGAATTTTTTAACTAGATCAGGTTGTTGGGTGACCAGTCTGGAAAATGATCAACCTTCAATTGCACATATGCTGAAGCCACCCTCCTTGTTAACCAGACAGATGAAAATATATTTTACAGTGGTTGGTAAGACTATAGTAATGGCTCATATCATACATCTGGGGAGGAGACAGCTTCAGTGTTGCATTTTTAGCTTCAGTGAGTATATATTACTCATGATATTGTCTCAATTAGCTCTGCCTAATTTGAAACTGAGGTGTTTTCTTCATGCACAGGGTGAAGAGCTGTGGGATAACATTTAGATTAAATTGCATTCTAATTAACCTGATCTCAGAGTTATCAATCTTTTTTAGAGGAATATCTCAAACCTCAGTATACGTCATTCCTTTCCGGTCAGTTTGAAAGTAGATTAAAAACTGCTATTAGTCTTCTGCCAAATTTCTACCAGCCCATCTGTTTTCTCTCAAAATCTACCGCTAAAGGGTTCTATCTCCCATTTAGGCCAATCAGGTGGAGAGTTAATATGTCCAGTGAGCGATTCGATTGCCATTACTGCAAGGACTCCTTGCTGGGGAAGAAGTACGTGCTGAAAGACGACATTCAATACTGCACGAAATGCTACGAGAACTTGTTCTCCAACTGCTGTGAGGAATGCTCTGTGCCAATTGGGTGTGACTGTAAAGTAAGTCAGATTTGGTGAGGTAGCGGCTAATGCTACCACGTTAACATTGTTTTCAGATTTGTTCTCTTCCTCTAGCTCTAATGCAAGGTGCAAGCTTTTAAGTGACCTAATTTGAGGAGCTTGGTGGGATTTCTTCACAGGCAATTCAATTTTTGGCCATTTCTCCGTTTGATTAATCATTTTATTCATTATTTTAGTAACTGCAGCATTTTCAACCTTGTTGAACGTGGAGTTAATGTTTTTGGTAAACTGAACTCCATAGTTATAAAGTATTACTTTAATGTGTTCCACTTGATTTAGGAACATAATTTAGGTAAAATGCCATAGTGAGTATTAACTGACAGAGCTACAGTTATTTATTCTGAACTTTGGTGAAGTCAGCCTGTACATCTGTATCGATTTCATGAATAATATTACATTTAGCAAATTTTACAACGTTTGGAAGAAAAATCTAGTAACCTAGATACATATACATTGAAAATAATGTGAACACATTCTTTGAAAGTACTCAAACTATTGCTCAGTATATAAGTATTTTTCCATGATATTTGTATGTTTAGTCAGCATTGTTACTCTTGTGAAGGTCTGTTTTTTGTTCACAAAACACCTTGATTGTAGGACAAGAAAGAATCTCAAATCTAGAAATCAGTAAACAATAATGTTGCTGTGACGACTCTTTAAATAAAATTTTGACCTCATTTATTTGTTAGGATCTGTCGTACAAGGACCGCCACTGGCACGAACCGTGCTTTAAGTGTGCCAAATGCGGCCGCTCACTGGTGGAGAAGCCCTTTGCAGTTAAGGATGAACTCCTGCTCTGCACTGAGTGCTACTCTAACGAGTACTCATCCAAGTGCTACACCTGCAAGAAGCCCATCCAGCCAGGTAAGGCACTGCCACTCCTGAGATGTAGGATACCACTCTGGTACAGTTTTGTTCCGCATTAACATACCATGAAAATGTTCCTCAGGGTCTATTTCTGTACTTTAAATGGTACATTTACCTACAACTAGGGTACTATTGGCAGACCCTTGAAGGTACACCCCCCCAGTCACAAGTGATTGTACCCTCAAATGTATAAATTGGTAATTTATTTCTGGCAGTATATGGGGGATTGTCCTGTCTGTTCTCAAGATTGCCTATTAGTAGCTGGAGCCTGTTACTTGCAAGCCAAACTTGATATGCTAGTAAACATTGTTATTTAGTAGAAATTGTATAATGTCAAATGAAGAGCTAAATTTACACATCCATCCAACCATAGTCTGTTGCAGGATTACAGGCAGGGAAAATCCTGAATGGGATGCCAGTCTGTTTCAGGGCACCCACACACACAATACAGGCAATTTCAATACACCAGTCCTTCTAAACCACATGTCTATGGTTTGTGGGAAGAAACTTGAGTGCCTGGAAAAAACTACCCAATCACAGGGAGAGCCTGCAAACTCCACACATAGACAGATAGGGGTGATTCTGGGGATGTGGGGCTCACAGTGTTACCCAGTGAGACACTGTACCGCCAAGGCGTGCCCATGTTTATGATAAACGAGTGATTCCTGGAAGTCTGACATTAGCTCTCATGCCTACCCTGGGGTCAGATTGACCCCAAAGGCACATGTCAGGTGACTTCTCATAGTCACATAATTATCGTAGGAGCGTGTAAGAGTTTAAGTGGCAGTCTTTGTCTAATGGCACGCTCTCCCATGCTTGAGGTTCTCGCAAAATGGAGTACAAGGGCAACAGCTGGCATGAGACCTGCTTCCTCTGCCACCGCTGCCAGCAGCCAATCGGAACCAAGTCCTTCATCCCGAAGGACAACAGCTACTACTGCGTGCCCTGCTACGAGAAACAGTTCGCTTACCAGTGCTGTACCTGCAAGAAGGTGAGTCTTTCACAGCACAGTGGTCGATGTAAAGCCAGTTACAGACCGGTGCTCTTTCTATAAGGTGCTTGTTTGGGTTTTTACAAGGCCATAACGACAGGGGGGGTGACGTACCACGACAAACCCTGGCACCGAGAGTGTTTCCTGTGCATCGGGTGTAAGAAGCAACTAGCAGGCCAGCGCTTCACCTCCCGGGACAACTACCCATACTGTCTGGAGTGCTTCAGCAACCTCTACGCCAAAAAGTGCGTGGGCTGCACAAAGCCCATCACCAGTGAGTATCTAAAAGCCTTACTGTGAGTCACGGAATCCTTCACTGAGAAGCCTGGTGCTTTTAAACCAGGGGTCTCCAACTCCTGGTATTTACCTGAGAACAGGTGCGGCTCATCAGTAACCAGGTAGGATAGGAAACTGGACAATAGCTCTCCAGGACTGAAGTTAGAGACCCCTGTTTTAAATGTTGAGTATTCCTGGCACATAGTATTCAAGGGAGGTTGAACGGGAACCAACTGGATGTCACTGAATGAATGCTCTGCTTGATGAGGGTCTTATACATAATCGTAATACATAATACATAATCTATTATAATCCATAGTGTGTATTCCTTGAAAATGAATCTAGAACCGTCTGGCTTGACTGCTGAAATTCCTCCTACCCCGGTTTACACATTCCAAACTAAGACCTAGATAAAAAATGTAGAGTTTCAAGTGTTTCTTGTGGTGGGTTGTAAACATGGTGTGATGTGTAGCTGCAAGGTGCAGGATCGGAGTGATTCTGTCGATGCAGCCATTGGCGATTGGTCCTTGTGGGGGTCGGTAACCATGGCGCCCGTGCGGCAGGTCTGGCCGGAGCAAAGTACATCTCCTTCGAGGAGCGGCAGTGGCACAGCGAGTGCTTCACGTGCGTGCAGTGCGCCGTCTCGCTGGTCGGCCGCGGCTTCCTCACCCACCGCGACGACGTCCTCTGCACCGACTGCGGGAGGGAGAAGTGAAGTCGCGCCAGTGGGAACACGCTCCCGGAGCCGTCAGATTGACCTCAGAACCTCCCCCCGTTCCCAAAAGCACAGAGCCAGGCTTCTCTGCACATCTGCTCGTCTAGAAACACGTGAAAGTGAAGCTTTCATCAGAATCCTTTTATTTGCCAAGCACAAAAAGTGCAAGGCGTTTGTTCTGGTGCAGTTGGGGGCATGAATATAGAAATTAAACACACCACCAAGCCAAATTTACACAAAACAATAAATATAATAAAGATAAAAAGGAGAGATAATAAAAATCTGCTATTAATAAATAAATAAACTTATTCATTTAAATAAGGGTAAGACAACAATTCATTGTATCTGAAGTATAACTATGTATCCATATTAATCCTGGATACACTGATGTCTCTGGCAATATTTAAAATATAAATTTAGAGTATTGATTGTGTCAAAGACAATGCAAATGATGAATTGTTAATGCTCACTGATTGCTTGAATACACCTCAGTCAAAAAGGCAGACTTACATTTCAGGCTCGTGCAGATGGGAATTCCCACAATGCTGAACTTGTAATATTTTATTTAACACAGCTTGCTAATCATATGTCATAACTGTGATACCTGATTTCCATACTTATGAGAAACATCTGCATTTATCCATATTCACGTCTTGCTTTTGTTGAACTGAATAAAATAAAAGCTTTAAAAACTGTGAAGGTAAAGTCATTTCATAACCCTCATGAAGTCTTACTTATATTGGTCATAATAAGCATTAAGCAATAATTACAAAATAAGCAATAATTACAAAATAAGCAATAATTACATCCATATGAAACCTTCACTTCCCATCCAGGGTGTACCTGCCCTGTACTTTGGGCTTTTTGGGAGAAGCTCCAGGAACCCCTCCAGTATGAACTGGGATAATCAGCTGGAGGATGGATGGATGGATGGATGGAAGGACGGATGGACGGATGGATGGGTGGTTGAGACCTATATAGATGGTATGGTTATTCGATAAGTAGCAGAATAGCCTTGCATCTGCAGCATTAGAGCTCTGAATCCATTCCCCACTCTGTGCATGTGAAGTTTGCACTGGGACCACTGGCATTGTGCAGTTTTCCTCCTTTAGTCCTAGCACCTCTGATTTGCCCATTACGTGCTTGTTTGTGGGAGTGTGTGCCCTGCATTGGACCGAACGCTTCCCAGCCCTGTGCTCTATCCCTCCTGAGATAGGCTCCAAGTTGGATTCATTGATGTTCCATGTCATTTTCAGCTGCTCATGATCTTACACTTTAATAATGCCATTGATGGGGCCAAGGCTTTTTTTTTTGCGTCACAGTACTGCTTAGTCAGGAACATATAACCCGGAATCGCTGACTGAAACTTCCTCTCAGGATGCAAGTCACATGTCAGGGTCAAAATACACTGTAAACGGGCTTCTACTTTAACGGCAATAAGACGGGACTGCTGGACGAGGTATGTTCATGTTTTCTGCTAACAGTTCCGTGTGTTGTTGCCTGCGTCGCATGTCTTACATTATATGTAATATACGACATATGTCGTTTCATAACACAGAGGAAGTTTATGCAGGCAAACCGACTTTCTGTTTCAGCTGTGATCTGTGCTGTAAATGTTTTGGACTGGTTTGAATATTTAAGATCCCAGTATGTTTTCACCATTTATTCATGTCTATTTATGTTTGTACAATAAACCCACTGACTGACTAATTTATAAAGCATTTATATTTTGTTTAATTTATAACTTGTTTATTTCTGGTATATATAAATCTGCCATTATAATACTGTGTACCTCACATTGTCTCCTTTAGTGGCTCATTTGAAGAAAAACTTTATCGTTGCCAAAGAGGACAATGAGCCTTACAGCTTTCATGCCCTTCTTAGTCCTTGAGAAACCAGCCACGAGTAAAGAAAAGCTTAAATCTGGTTTCCAAGTCCTGGAAGGTTGTGGCAGGAATCTTTACATTGGGAGCAGAGATGGTACCATACAGCACTTCACTCTGCTAGAACCTGAAGGGAATCAGCAGACAGTTCGGGAGACAAGGAGGAAACAGCTGGGATCAAAAGATCTGATAACCCAAATGAAGGTCCTTCCAGTCCAGAACCACCTTCTGGTGCTCTGCAACGGTTCCATCACAGCTTTCAATATGTTCTCCTTGGAGCCAATCCCCACCCTGTCAAAGATCCGCAACGTCTCCTTAATGAGTGTCAATGACTCCTACAGCCTAGCCCAGCCCCTAGTTGTTGAGCTTTTCACGCTGGCCTCCAGGAGAAGAGCTGTGAGCATCCACGTGGTGTCAGTGAATAAGTGGGAATGTATCAAAGAGGTATCGCTGTCCCAGGACCCGGTATCATTGGCTGTGGATGGGTCCTGCCTCTGCATAGGCACAGATAAAAACTACATACTCCATGACCACAAGAGCGGCATAACCCTTGACCTTGTCCCACATGACTCCACTAATCAAAGCGTCATTGTACAAGCTGTGGGGAAGGGCGAATTTCTTCTAAATGGGCCAGGATCCTTGGGTAAGAAAATATATCAAATCTACATTTATCTACTGTGTTTATGACATTCAACAGTATGATTGATTTTTATTTTAATCTGATGCTTTCATAACGCAGACATGGTACGAAAAAACAAAATCGCGAAAAGTTATACAATCTCAAATAAAATGACGGGCATTTCATGAAGTTAATTCCAAACAGGCATATTTGTGAACAGCCATGGGATTTCCCAGCGTCCACCGCTGCAGTGGTCACAGGGGGTCTTGGCTGCAGCAGTGTACCCTCCCTATGTGCTCGCCCTGCAAAGCGAAGGGCTCCTCATCTACAGCATGCTGGATCAGCACCTCAAGCAGACCGTCCCTTTGCACAAGGCCATAGGCCTGCTCTGCACAACAGGTAACTTCCGCCTACCTCTGTGTGAATATCCACCATTTATTTGGTAATATTGTAGCCATCCTTGCTAAGAGTCATGGGACTTGTATTAGGTGTGGTTAAGGAATACACCTGCAAGGTTACGAGGCAGTAGCCATCCTGGATGGGATGCCAATGCATCACAGAAGAAGACCAGTAATTAGTAGTAAACATGCTTTTGATTGTATTCCAAATAATGTCAAGTCAAGTCAAGTGGGACTTCACTGTCATGTCACCCATACACAAATATACAGTGGTACTCGATGTCGTTTCCCCCAGGACCACGGTGCAACATAAATCACATGGGGGGGGTACACAATTACAGCATTAAAACACACAGAATAAACATGAATAGAATGTGGTTTGTAAAAAAGCAGGAATGGAGCAGCAGAAAATAACTTTCTGTACACAATACACAGTATGTAAACTATGTAACATAAAAAGAAATGTAGTATGTAAGTTTGTACATAATATAGTATGCTATAATGCTGTTAATATATAATACCCTTAAAATACCTGTAATTTGTAACATGCAAAGCATACTGACCCAGAAAATGCATTTTTCTTCTGATCTTAGTGTTTTTAAGAATAAATCACTATTTTCCTTCTCTTCTCCTCAGAGAGTGTGTTTGTTTTCACGGAAAGTGAGGTATACAACCTGCAGCCCATCCCCCTTGACGTGCAAATCACGGCCCTTGTGAATAGCGAAAGTGTGCATGAGGCCTTGGAACTTCTGCAGGGCGTAGAAGGGCAGTTATCAGAGGATACATACAAGGTAAAAGATTAGCTCTCTTACTCAGGGGGGGATTTCATTTTCTCCATAATGTCCATCCCAATATTACGCTTTTTGTAGTATAACATGAACAGGACTTACCTGTGTTATAATATGCCATAATGTGTCAGTGCTTATGTTTCCAGACACTCCAGAAGAACACAGCCCACACGGCCGGCTTTGTGAAGTTTTATCAGGGATGTTTCCAAGAAGCCAAGGAGCTTTTCATGTGAGGATGAATCTTTTTTTTTTATTAAACACATTTGGTAAATTAAGTCGCCCTGACAAAGTTACTTGCACAGCTAAGAATGTTCTCCAAAGCAACAATTATGGCCATATTAGATTTTGGCTTTAGTAACCCACAGGGGTGTACCTAGAAATTCTGGGCCCCCTGACAAGATGTTACCTTGCCCCCCACCCCCAATCCAATTTTATGTATAATTTTATGTAGGGCCCCTGTCAAGTGCTGGGCCCCCTGAATCTCCCGGGGTATACATGCCCCTCCAACACCCCTGATAATGCAGGTCAAGTACCGCATTCAAAGGCACTTCAGGGGTGAGTCTCCAAAGAGTTTAGCCATCAAACTTTGGGTTATGAAGTCGAGTTTTTAACCACCAAGCTCCCCAAATGCATGCTGTAAAAATATAGTTGTCCTTGCCTCTTTTTCACAGAAAGACAATTCCATCTTTTGGTTACGCATCCAATGTGATTTCCTTCCACAGCAAAGGTGACATAGACCCTAGAGAAATTATTAGCCTGTATCCCGACCTCCCGTCTCTGGGTGACGGATTTACGTCACAGCTAGCGGCCGTGTTCAACACCAGGGATCTCCGTGCAATGAGGACAGAGGACTACGCCACTTTTCAGGGCTACCAGGAATTCCTGGGCGGGTTCCTAAGCGCCATCCGGGGGACGGACCAAAGTCACGGACACGGCCGGGACATTGACTGCACGCTCCTGAAGCTGTATGCGGAGAGAGAATGCCACAAGGACTTGGACCAGCTCCTGTCTTCTGGGAATGACTGTCTTCTCGACATGTGCGTGCCATACCTGGAGAAAAACAAGAGGTAGGAGGTGTGTTATTAAAAATAACCTGTCGTTGGCTTTTAAAAGTTTCCCTGGATTTCTTTGTCACCACCTTTATAATATCTGGCTAAAAACAACCTCAGTAATTAGTACTCCTTAATATTGGTTTGTGATTACTTGGGAAAGCACATTTCCATCTGATTGAATATTATTGATCCCTGTGGGGAAATCCTCTGTTCACCTACCCCATTTGCTGTCCATTGGTGAGATCATGCAGGCAACAATGGGCAACAACCCATAGCGACGCCCAGGGAGCTGTTGGTTAAGGCCCTTGCTCAAAAGCCTAGAGATGTGCCAAGGCTGGGCATGAACCAGCAACCTCCTGATCATGGGCACAGAGGCTTAGCCCACTGAGCCACCCGCTATAGTTCTGAATAGTATTAAAGGTGACACAGAAACATAGTTTGGGGAATGTATGCTTTAAGATATATGCTGTTTCAAATCCTGATCTGCAGTTATTTCACCATGGGGCCCTTGAGTAAAGCAGTTACTCCTCAGTTACTCCTTAGTTACTCAGTGGACTGGCTGACCCTGCTTTTCTCAGCTTTGGACAAAAGCATCTACCAAATAAAGGAAGACTAGCTTAAATGCCATAAGTGCCATAAGATTAGTGAGGATGAATGTCATGCAATTCTAATAAAGATATTATTTTCTTTAAGATTCTTCTCTCTCGGTTTGCTGTATCAGAGTCATGGCCAGGCAGATGATGCGGTTCAGGTAATGACCTCTGAACTGATGAACTAGTGAAATAGTAAACTATTAACCAACTAAGTAACCATATTATAATAAAACAATGGAAAATGAGCAATACTAAGTGATACACACACACACACACACACACACACACACAAATTAATATATAATATCCTATAATATTAAAATGTGTAGTATAAAGTGCTGCTTACAAGGAGCACAGAATAGCAATAGAAAAACATTTAGAGATGTTTTAATATATTTTAAGGATATTTTTTCATAAAGTGGCCCATAGTCAGTGCATTTGGAATTAAAGAAAGCAGTACTTTATGAATCTGGTAACTTGTGTTGTGATAATTTCTCTGATTCTTAGTTTCAACACTTTTGACCAGCAGCATTTTAAGATTTAACTAGCGAACATGCCACATGTTGTTGCAGACCTGGGTGAAAATTGTGGACGGCTTCCTGGCTGTCAGTTCGAGCCCCGATGTGTACAAGCACATCGTGAAATTCCTGAGCCAGCAAAAGTGCCGGAAGCTCCTCTGGAAATACGCAGACTGGATTCTACAGAGGGATCAAGAGGTACCTTATCTGGTGCAAAAATGTAGATGGAAGACTATTATATGGTTGCACTGCACATAGTCTCAACATTGTCGCACCTTACGGATGAGAACTGCATACAAACACACACAGAATGGTGACTTACCAAAGGATTTAGCAAGGATTCATTCTCAGCTGTGTTTTTCAATTTATGCAAAGGCAAGAAAGATGTTGGCAAGATACAATGCCATATTAACTGTGTATTTACAATATTTTGACAGGAGGCCGTATATAGTTTTAAATATATATCTGCCCATCCAACTTCTATATTTATATTAACATTTTATAATTGTATATAGAGCAGACTGATGAAAATCCAAATTCCTGAAATTCTTCCAAATCCTATTACGTAGATAGATTTCTGTCTATATAACTGACAGAATGTGCGATATTTAGGAGCAAGGATGTAGGCAGTACCTTTAAACTGGCTGTAGAGGGCAGCAGGGATTTTAAAATGCACAGCTCAGGCAGAAACATGCAAAGACAATATTACATACTTGACTTTAGAGTAAATGACAAAAATTAGCAGAATTATATATAAACAAACAGCCCTGCTCCAAACAGCAAATCATAGCTGTAACTGAACACGTAGATCATGCGGACGGAGTTAAGTGGTTCTCTTACTGGCTGGCTAAGCATTAGAGTGGTTAAATGAGCATACACATAAATAATCACTGTTATTAAGGTACTATATTTAATAGGAAAATGTAAACCATTGTTTGCCTGTAATCCTTTAGGTTGGAGTCCAGATCTTCACCAACAGAGGGGACAGCCAAGAATCACTCTCAGACGAAGATCTTGCATTTTTAACTAAATACCCAAAAGCTTTGGAGCTGTATCTGGAACATTTGGTTATGGACTTCAAAAGTAAGGTCAGTGCTTTAGAATCTCACGTTTATGTCATATGTTGAAACTTCTGGATAAAATAATACAGCTAATTGTTGAAATCATTATTTAGCTTTTTAATTCTTCACAGGGGTGCTGACAGAGATTTTGGGCCCCATCAAAGCGTATCATACTGGCCCTCAGCCTGACCCAATTCAATTACGTTCCAAATTTTTTTAGTGCCCTAGAGTAGAATCATCCTAACTTTTCCTCCCCAGTACGACGCCCTGATTTTTCAGGTTTGTAGTTCCTTTTTTTTTCAGAAGGAGAAACATCACACCCTTCTTGCCACAACGTATGTTGCACATATACTGCGGGATTTGGAACATGTACGAGCCATGGACACAACTGGCAATACAACCAGATATAAACTCCAACAATTTCTACAAGATTCCACTTTCTACAATGCAGAGGACGTTCAAGGTCAGTAATAGGACAAAAATCTCATTTCATTAGTTATTTTATTTAAAAGGCACATACATGCCTGTTTAAATCTACCTTTTGAGTAAGAGATCCCTGGATTCAGAGTTCCTGGTACATTGCACGCTGTCATTTTAGCAACAACATTATGATGAACCAGCACCACAAGGAACACATTTCATATTCTCATTTTGATGTTTTCCATGACTATAGAAGCAATCAAATGCACTCCTCTTTTTGTGGAGAAGGCCATATTGCATGGAAGAGCTGGAGAACATTTCAAGGCTTTGGAGGTCTTGGTCCACAAGGCAAAGGACCAGCAGGCTGCAGAGGATTACTGCAGGAGAACTTCAGAGGGCCAGAGCACGGAATTCATTAACCAGCTCTACCTCACCCTGCTGGGAATCTACTTGCAGTCGCCCCATTCAGTGAGGGCTGCAGTCGATCTGCTCAATGGCAACAGCGCTGCCTTCAATTTGCTCGACGTGCTCCAAGTGCTGCCTGATTCCTGGTCCTTGCAGCTGGTGGACAGGTTCCTGATCGAATCTCTCCGGTGGAACTTCCACAGCAGACAAATGAGGTGGATTGAGAAGAACCTGGTCCAAGTGGAATATCACAGACACAAGATAGGCTGGGTGAGTACAGTAGAGTAAAAGGAGGAGCAATCATATAAAAAAGAACAAATATATTGAAAAAACTGATTAATATGTATTTGTTTCATACTTCTATGATTGAAACATATTCAGTTCCCTTTTATAGGACAACATGACTTCCGTGATGAATATGTTTTAGTGCACAGTCCAGTTGTTTTTGGAGACAACATCCATTGCATCATCAAATACTCCCATTGTGACGTCACGTCATTGTCTTCCTGACAGATCAGAGACACTAGAGGAATGATAAAAGTGGAGAAGTGGCAGCTGTGCCAGCGGTGTGGGCGGTACCTCATGGAGCCCATCTTCCTGCGTTCTCTGAAAGGGGAACTGATTCACGAACACTGTGGCGTGTGACAGAATTAACTGCATTATGGGAATATACCCAGAGTGGTGATTTCATTGTAAATTGTCCATTGTTCATGGATTCTGCAGTAAATAAAATCTTTGTACATTTCTATTTAGGTAATGTCAAAGAATCACACATAGGTTCACCAACTCACGTTGTTCATCAATGTAGAAGACTCCCTCCCCACCTTCAATAAATGCTTCAAGACCCATCTGTTTCAGGAACTCCTCTTTAGGTTCCCTGAATATTCTTACGTTGCCCTTCTGGACGTTTCATAGTTTTATTGGATTCTTTCTTTGTTAGAAGTTGTTGTGTAGCTCCAGCTCCAATACTGCTTATACTTGTACCTGGGCATTAACTCACAGCTCAGCCTAGCTGCAGTTATGCCTAGTTGACTCCTTGACAGCATGTACACAATATAGACAAAAGTATTGGGGCACCAGGTCATTATACCTATAGGAACTGTTCTGACATTCCATTCTGGATCCATAGGCATCAATATGGAGTTGATCCCCCCTTTGCAGCTATAAGAGGTGCCTCTCATCTGGGAGGGCTTTCCACAAAATTTTGGAGTGTGTCTGTTGGAAGAGCATTTGTGAGGTCAAGCATTGATGTTGGATGTGAAGGCCAGGATCACAATCTCCATTCTAGTTCATTCCAAAGGTGTTCAGTGGGATTGAGGTCAGGGCTCTGTGTGGGACAGTCAAGTTCTTCCAAACCAAACTCATTCAAACATGTCTTTATGGACCTTGTTCTGTGCACTAGGGCAAAGTCATGCCGGAACAGTAAAAGGCCTTCCCCAAACTGTTCCTATGAAGTTGGAAGCATAGAATTGTCCAAAATATCTTGGCATGCCAAAGCATTAAGAGGTCCTTTCACTGGAACTCAGGGGGATAACCCAACCACTAAGAAACAACCCCATATCATTATCCCTCCTCCACCAATCTATACAGTTGGCACAATGCAGTCAGGCAAGTAATGTTCTCCTGGCATCTGCCAAAAGCAGACTCAGACTGTCAGACAGAGAAGTATGATTATTAATCACTCCATAGGGCATGTTTTCACTACTTTACTCCATCCAATACTTGCGCTTGGTGATGTGAGGCTTGCATGCAGCTGCTCGGCCATGGAAGTCCCAGTGCACAGTTTTTGTGCTGAGGTTAATGCCAGAGGAAGTTTGGAGCTCTGCAGTTATTGAGTCAACAGAGCGTTGGCAACTTGCACTATGTGCCTCAGAACTTGGCAACCCTGCTCTGTTGCTTTACGTGGTCTGCCACTTTGTGGCTGAAGTTCTGTTGTTCCTAAACATTTCCACTTTGCAATAATACCTCTTACAATTGATCATAGAATATCTAGCAGGAAAGAAATTTCAAGAACTGACTTATTGCAAAAGATGCATCCTATGACAGCACCATGCTTGAATTCACTGAGCTCTTCAGAATGACCCATTCTTTCACAAATGTTTGTAAATCTTACTGCATGGCTTGGTGCTTGATTTCATATACCTTAATTCAGTGATTAAGAGGTATGTTCCATTACTTTGTCCATATAGTGCATGTTTGTAATGTGCTGTTTGCCTCATTTGTAGGTCTCTTTGAACAAAACTGTCAATGTTTTATATAAATGTAAATGTAAAACAGTACTGGCTCCAGTACAAAGCCAGACCCTTTTTTGGTCTATGGCTTAAAGAGCTTGAAGCATGGTTTAAACGTGGTTAAACATGGTGCAACGTAGATAAGTCAGATCATCCAGCATGTCGCCTTTCCTGGGGCTTCTGGGTGCAAAATCGGTTAAACTGAATTCTCAAAATGCATCGATGCATAGAATATGGCAGTAATCTGAATCAGGTCGAGAAGATACGCCGCACAAAAGACAGAAGAATGAGATGCAGATAAGCATGTGGAAGCTCTCTTAACTGCACACAAACACCACGTACATGGTCACGCCATTAGATCTAAGAGCTGGCACACCAAACAAACATCTCGCATTTATGATCTTGCATTTATTTATCACTGCGTGTGTGGTCCTTAGAGAAAAATAATCGAAAGTTTCTGTAATATACAGTTGTTATCTGAATGACTGATCCCCACCCATGAAAGGATTACTGTAATTAAAACCCTTTAAAGTCATACAAATATTTTTTTAACTGAATGGCATTGTACAACTAACAAAATCTGCATCGGTAGTTCATTTGCCAAATAAATAAATAGGGTTTCCCATCAAAGCCTCACATTTTCAAAGCTTTCACTGTGCCTGGTTTTAGACAATGTTCTCCTTTTTGAAATACACATGCAAACTGCAGTATTGATTGATAGGTATTTTACAATGACCTTTAGCACTTTTGCATTATTTTAGTGTGTGAGCCTATAGATAAAAGTTGAAAACCTTTATACATGGAGTCATGCTCAGATTTATTCATATCTCTCACATTTTAAGGCTAATTCTATTTTGTAAGTACATATTTGTTGCGTGTAGATCAGACATGTGCAAATTTACCCTGTTTACAGCATGACTTCTGTCATACATCAAATGGCAGGGGCATGCATTTTATTTTTTTAATTTGTTTTCACAGGTTTGGTTATTTTTTTGTGGTCTTGTAGTCAATATTTACCCAGACAGGTGTCTGGGTTACCAGTGATATTTTTGCAATATCCTGCTCTAAAAAACATTTTTAAGTATATTTTATGCTAAAGAGAGTACAGAGAATAACAGATTTGCTTTTAGTGCCATTGCTGCGGTCCTGGTCTTGTACTGTATAATAATATCTTTCTTTATTTACAAGATGGTGCAGGTGAGTCTTTGGAAATCAAAGTCTACATTGTACCGCTGCTGCTGAAAAAAATTCAGTGATCCCAATCTATGGTACCGCCCACTCTGAGGTCCTGTAAAAACAGAGATATTTAGATAAATGAATACGACAAGATGTAAAAGTGGGTAATCACCAAGATTATGCCGACCCTTTAAAAACTAAGACTATCGGCTGCTGTTCCTTTCATGTAAGCTGTAAGTTTAGTTATTGATTCTTGGACAAATAGCAAATACTTTATATTAAAAGCAATATATATATAGGTGTGTGGTAAGGTTATGTGGATTATTGTTGTAAGATCACAATAATAAAAAGGAATTCGACCATACACGTGTTTTCAGCTACATTCATAATTATTTAATGCCTATAATTATCGTTACACTGTTACGTTACAATTATTCAAGGCCCATGGTAATGTGGTCACCTCCCACAGATTTATGGTTCATAAAGGTCATCGATACCACAGACAGCTGGATTTTAAAGCCATTTTTATGGTTGCTGTATACTTTTGAAAGCATCAATGAAATGCTTACACAAAGGAGAGCCCACAAAAATATAAAAATCCATAGGACGGCCTTTCATTTTCCTACCGCGGCTTAACTGTGATGGAGGAAAATGGCAGACTGAGCTGAACAGGCACGGCTTTATGTGTCATCGCTGCTCGATGATTCGCTTTTGCTGAGCCACAGCTGTACAACCAACTCCACTTCTACACTTAAAAACCCTGTATGTTTTAAGATTGTGATTGTTACGTGACATAATGAATGACATTTTCAAATGAAATGAGACAATTATGATAAACAGAACAGTGTACTTTGAAAAATAAAGGACTTTATTGATATATATACATGACAAAGATGAAATATGTGTATGACTGAATTTCAAATGTTTAAATAGCTAATGCATAATTAGGGGTCAGTTATTAGCTGCAGTTTTTTGTAATTGTATTACGTGGGACAGATACAGCAGAGGGCACTATTGTCTTATCAATCACTCACCAGAATACTGGCATAGATAAGAGATACACATATGAAAAGAAAAGCAGCAGATGTGGCAAAGTTTAGCCCTACTGTATGTATGAATACTGTCATTGGAATCGTGAACGAGAATGCAGCTCACTAGAAAGAGAATCATAGTTTAATTCACCAAACAATAGCCAAGATAAAAGAAAAGCTATTTTGGGGGACACTTTCAGATTATATGACTGAAATACGAGGTTGTGTTTTAAATTTTTTCATGATTGAGCTACAGTAGCCTGATTACTGTTTGTTATTTATCAATCAATGAACATCTAATATCTTATATGTGAATCTTGTTTTTCCAGTAAAAAAATATTTACCATGAAATTAAAAAATGGTCAAAAAAGGTAAAAAGAAAACAAAGTCTATATGTTCTATGCAATCCTGTTTGTCAAGGCAAACAAGGTTCCCACCAAGCTGCCGGACTGTACGAGTTTACCTGTATGCTGTTCGGTCTCTGTTCACTGAGCTGATTTCAATAGTCGTTGCACGGGTCTAACAGAATGCCAATGAAATTAAACTGGAATACTTCTTCGAAGAAAGCTTTTCACTGTATAACTGTTTTATTTCACATGAAAAGGCTAAGCTAAAATTTTAATTATGGCTTAGATATGAGGTTGTCAAACAGTGATCGTTAACAACCTATTCCAATGAAATGCAAGGGGCTAAAACAAAAGACTGTTTTTGAACTAGTTTTCAAACTCACTGGCCACATTAAAGAACATAAAGGCCAACATAACTTCCTCCACTCCCAGCTCAAATACAAAATTGCATTCTGAGGTAATGTGTTGCTTTTTTAAACCACTAATTGCATCTTACTGTTGCTTGGTATAGTTCAGGTAAACATGAGTTCAAGCAAAGTTACATTTCAACTTTCTTTTTTTAATGCATCTGCTAAAATGTATACAAGCCTGTGTTTTTAATTTATTTATTCCATATTACAGTATACTGTAGCTGTCATGTAACAAAATATGCTAAAAAAATGAAACAGTTTGAATACTCTCTGAATTCACTGTATCAACTGATGATGTGACTAGTGGGATTTTTCTGCAAAAACGCAGTGGTTGATGTGTGTGATGTGACCATAATTGATGATCTATTAACATTACATGCAAATGGAATTGTGGACATAAATAGGCTCCTTGATGAGGTTTCTAGACACAGTGTGATTCTTGATGCCATTTGTGGTGGTTCCAGCATCTCAGAAACAGCCATGGTCCTGGCATTTTCACACACTACAGTATGTAGAGTTTACAGTGAACACTGCAATAAACATCCAGTCAGTGGTGCTGTTAAAATCACTTTGTTAATGAGGAGAATGGCCAGACTTGTTAAAGCTACCAGGGAAAGCGGCAGCTCATTACAACATTGGTGTGCAGAAAGGCAAGAAACGGGACTCTTTATGATG